ACACATAATCTAAAAGGGCAGTAGTGTCTGCAAAATATGTATTATCTATCTAACTGTACAACCAATTCTTAAAATTATATGTCCATTATCTCATAATTCTAAAATCTAGAGACACAGCATACTCCTAGACACATCACTCTCCCTGATTTACTACAGTAATCAGACATGAACTAATGGCCAGTCTCTTAAGACTTTCACTTTTGTCATGATTGTTATTTATTGTTTTATATTGACTTTAATGGAACCCTGGCATTGTGACCTGCCATGCAGCACAACAGTTCTTTTAGTCATTTGACTAATGAGTTACACTAATTCTGCCACACATGCCAAGAAGCAGCTATAGTCACAATAAAAATTTACAGAAAGTTATGTATCGTCCTATCTGAAACACAGCACTGTTTCTTCCATGCAAATACAGAAGATGAAGTAATTTCTCACCTTCTGACAGCTTTGGTCAATAGGGTCAACTGGAGTAGATTTGGGTTTGGTTATCCTCACATCATCTTTTCCACACTCCAAAAGAGCCCATAATTCAGTTACAAGCGCTTTTATAAAACCTAGAACAAATTTTTGCTCTAATCATGACAATGGCAAGAATACCAGAAAAACTATTTTCATATTAAAAAACAATTTACACCATAATTCTAACTCAGATTCTCAAAATTCTCTACACTGTGGACTAAAATTTCACAAGACAGACTGCCTGAGGGTTACTCCCCGTGCTATTCTCAATCTGCTAGTCCAACTACCTTTCTACAGGGGTCTGCTTATATTCTATCTAAAATGTACACCAACAGTTTGCAAAGATTATTATTCTAGAGAAGGATGATATTTACATATCTTCCATGTAAATGAGCTGCTGACCTTCTTTAACAAGTTAACTGCTACAGACCAAGGCTTAGCTTGTATTGGCTCTGCAGTTTCAAAAATACAGATTTACATTAACATTACTAAAAGAAAACATACGACAATGAAATGATAAGGATTGAAAAAATATTTTTCAGAGAGGCACTACCAGCTGAATTTAAAATGTTAAATATTAAAATAGAAGAGGAAGGATAACCGTCTAACCCTGCAACCTCCAAATGAAAGTTATAGGCTTAATACAAACTTTACATATATTACACAACCTCCTCCACAGGCTGAAAATCAATGCTGATTATTTTTGGTCTACGATTTTGTCTTTGACACCAAGAGCCATAAGAAGCAACTTGGCTGAGATCCTTAAACAGGACAGATGGGTTACTCCTGAAGTAGATGTGCTCCCTGCTTTCCGAAAGATCTCAGAGGCATAAATAATAAGCAACTCCCAATCAGTTTCCTTGACTGGCAGAATTTGCCTGTCTTTCTGACAGTCTTTCAGTCAAGTCATTTTAATCACACACCAGCTACTTCTAGATATTCAGAGAGAGTATTTGTAACTTTTGTACCTTAAGGACTTTCTCAGCAACTTAAGACAGTAGCTTTAAACTATTGGTAAGATTCTAGTTTTAATATAATAACGACCTAGAAGGCTGGGTGGTATGGTAACAGCTGAGTTAACTGAGAATGAATCTGAAGGGACCCTATGGTATGGGTTGACATGAGAAGAACTGTCAGCTCAGATAGTCTCAATTCCACCTCACTGTTATATAGAAGTGCCAGTGACATTCAGGCCTTTGCAGTTTCTAGCTCTTTGTGTAGTCAGTACATACAAATTACAGAAATCAACAGTTGTTAATTCTGATCCCTAGATCAGTAAGAAGCACTTACAAACTGTTAGCAACTTCTTTTTTAACAGATAAAAATGTCTCCATGAACATACAGGAAATTTCTTGAAATCCAAACCAATAAAGTAAAGATTTTGCATTATTTAAGAAAAAAAGAAAAAAAAAACATAACCAAAAAACAAAACCCTGCATCAGAATGACTTCAAAGTTGGAAAGGATAAAATTCCATGAAGAAGAAATCAATAGGCACTGAAGCAATCTTTGCTATTACTGCATAGTTATTCAGCTCAGTTGATATTTTTCAACATCCTTCCACTCATCTTTTTCTAATATGCAAGACTACAGCATGTAACTATTCATAATAACACCATTCTTCAATTTACCTGAACTATGTAGTGCTACTGCACCTGGTGGTGTTGTTGCCATTTGTGTAACAATCACTCTATTACCAAATTCTTCATATTCATTTGTCTGTTAGTAGCAATTAGAAAAACGCAGTTAGTTATTCAGAGGGCATGAAACTCCCAAATGATCTCTTAAATATTGATCTTTCCTACACTTGTTTACAGAATTTAATCCACTGTATGGTTAGACTTGAACAGTTCATAGCTATTAGCCTCCACAGACTTACCAGGGTCAGGTTCCAAACCAAACATCTTTATCAAGTATCTTACTAAAACTGAAATGCAAAATACTATGGCTGAGACATGCAACATCACCCAACAATAAACACATTGATATTAAAATTTTTTTGCACACAGGATGTCTGCAACTTTACGGTTTTTTGCATAAAACACATATCATCTCATTTTTGGTTACATTTCAAGTATTGTCTAGCATATCTACATTTCAAAACCACCTACCAATGCAGTCTTGAAAAATTTGCACTTAGAAGAAAAAAAGAAAAAAAACATATTGTAAAAGGTCAGAAAAACTAAATATATGCCCAAGAGTCTGAAGATGAGTAACATCCAACAAATGTAAATCAGTGTGGCACCAATATCAAAGATGATAAGGTACATTTTAAATTCATTTTTGTAAAAATTAAGTGACAAAATGGTTTCTGGGTTTATTCTCTTATTATTTTCTTTCTTCTTTAGTTTATTATAATCATTAAAAGACTAATAAACTGTACAGACTCTGTAATGCTTACCTGGAGTTTTTTTGATAAACTGCTGAACATAAAGTTCACACAGTCATTCATGGCACCTGTACTATGAAGCAGAAATAGTCCTTTGGGTGTGGCTGAAAAATTTAGCAAGGCATCTAACAAAGTCTGTTCCCATAACAAACTGCAAGAGTAGCAAAATATTAATTAATAAAGATATGGAAAAACACATGGAAAAAGAAAAAAAAATCTTCTAACTTTGAAAAACAACACCACTTCATTCACTGGACTCTATGTTTACTCTACATTATTTAAAAAAAAAAAAAAAACCAAAAACATTTGGGAAAGTTATAATATGTATTAGACTGTGTTTTGTACAAACATTCAAACTCATCCTGGCAAAACTGAAGTTAGGTAGGAACACAGAACAGAAGGATGATGTAATGGGGAACCCAGAAGAGCTATGCCATTGTGCTGGTTTGCTGGCCGGAGTTAAACCACAACAGCCATCCTTAAATGTATTTATGACTATCTGACTCCAGACAAGTCTTTAAGGTATTAATGTGGCAGTCACATATTGGCAAAACAGGCACAGAATTTCTCACCACTAAAAACACTATGAGGAACTAATAAAAACTCACTTTTGAGGAGATAAAGGCTCCTACTAGAAATTAGTATGGTATTATGAGAATAAGGTGATACATATACACAATAGTTTCACATACTAACAGTAGTAAATGGAAAATATTTTCTACAGACATGGCAGGAAGAACAGCAATTGCAAGAACAAAGTATGATGATACCTCCTGTCCTACAAAATACTCCACAACCTAAAAAGAAAAGTGAAGCAATTACAGCACCTTTGACTAGGTACCATCCCTGCAGGTATCACTAGACTCTTGTGATTCTGTTTCTCTAAAAGCATTTGCTTACTGGATTCTCATCTCTAGTTTTCACCTCTCATTTTTGAGTCCTATCACAGCAAGCAGCATGCAGCTTTCTCATAACAGCCAACCATTACCCCAAATTTTAATCACTTCTCCTGCAGCATCCCTGCCTTGACATGTTCAGAAGCAAAAATTTCACCCAGAAATATATCAGCATGCCTTGTTCCATAGTTAAATAAAAATGCTAGGAGGAAACTGTAGCTTATATCAGTGCAAGCGATTAGTAACAGCTGCCTCAGTCAGAGCTCTGCATCCACAGATTTCTCTTTACCACTAAATCTGAATTGCTATAACCAGTTCATATACCACCACCACAGACTAGAGTAATAACTTGGAAAATTATACATTGTCATTGGTAAAGCATAACAAGAATCTACTTAATTAACTAGGTTCTGCACTAGAATCGACATCACCTGGAATTTTCAGGCTCACAAGTACTTGTGTATTTCTCATCTTAATGCACACAAACTTCTATAAAGGGACATTAAGATTTAGTATAAAAAGAAGGCTGCCTTTCATTTCATACGTATCAAGCTTTCAGTCAGAACACTGCCAATCTTGCTACATAATATTTTGAAGGTGTAGATACCATTTGCCAGATACATTTTAAATTAACACCATATCAAAGCCACAAGATAAACTCTGACAGCTATTTTGGTTTATGCTTTCTAATTCACATTTTCCTCAAACCAATTTCTGTAGTCAGAGAGAATCAACTATATGTCAATTTAACATGAATTAGACACAACTCCAGAAACCAACAAGTCCTGAAAGGTCAAGAACAACTTTGTAACACTTCTGAGACCATGTTAGGATGACCTCACTCCCTCTGCCTACCACTAGGCTTTTGGCAAAAAGACACAGGGTTATGCAAGGCCTCAACTGGGGATAAAGTAGCAGCGTGCATTCATGCTTGTCCATGTGCATAAATTACGCATCAACTTACACGTTTTTTGACTCTAGACTTATTGATGAAGTTGAATCTGCACCAGTTACAGGAGTGGGTACTCTTTCTGAAAGCAAGCTTGTCTGTGAAACAAAAAATACATAAACACCTCCTTACTGTTTATTTACAACACTTTTAAACTCCAGATCTTGTTCTCTTGTAACATATTGAAAAAAAAAAAAAAGCCAGTGATCAGGTTGTAGTATAGCCTTTGGCACAGAATACACTATCCCACTACATTTTTTATTATTTTTTTTTTAATGTCTTCCTTGGGTATTAACCATTTCAAAGCTAGTAAATTTTTAAAATTTTAAATTACTAGGATTCTTAGAATAAAAAAAAAAATCTTTCTTTGCACACTTTAACTGGACACTCCCAAAGCATAACACATTGAAAAAAAAAAAATCAGACAGCAACTTTTTACTCCACTTCTGTCACAGGTCATGGAAAATAACAGCCATTGTAATCAACAACTCAATACCAAATTTATTAAGTAATTCTGCCAATTTTTATTTCATTTAATTATAAGTTATATGAAGTTATTTATATGGGTATGGATAAGCTACAACATAGATAAATATATATACATATTTTAATATTTGATAGAATTTCTAATTAAAATTCTATTTTAAAATAATTAGTGTGAAAACCACTGTATATTTCAGATGAATTATTTAAGGTTTTCTTATGTTTCCAGGGATAAAGAGCAAATTGTACCATCCAAATGAAAGTAAGATGCCATTAATTTGCCCTCTTACAAACATGATCTAATAAATCCGCAAAAGATTACTCTATTAAACTAATCAATTGTCCTGGATCTGTTATGTTCCCCTTTCATTAACAGCTGTACAAATTCTGTCCCAGAACTCCAGGAGAGTCTGCCAAGAAAAAAAATGTTTCTCCACCAGTCTTAAAACTGCAGAAGAAGTGTAAAATAGGAAGAAACAAATTACCAGTCTTTCCATTAAAAAACTGTCACTACTGCTTGGATAGACTCCACCAAATCCCCCATTTTAGCTACACTATGAATGGTAGAATATTTTATAAACCACAGATATTTTAAAATTGAACAATGACAAAAAATAATTTTTAAAGTAATCAAGGTGGCAGAGTTGAAAATGTGACCTTCCTGTACTAAATTGTAGATTCCTGATGTCCTGAATATGCAGATCATAGAATGGTTTGGGTTGGAAGGGACCTTAAAGACCATCTAGTTCCAACCCCCCTGCCATGGGCAGGAACACCTTCCACTAGACCAGGTTGCTCAAAGCCTCATCCAGCCTGGCCTTGAACACTCCCAGGGATGGGGCATCCACAGCTTCTCTGGGCAACCTGTTCCAGTGCCTCACCACCCTCTCCATGAAGAACTTCTTCCCAATATCTAATCTAAATTGACCCTCCTTCAGATTCCACTTCAGTCTCAATTTGACATCCAAAGTGAAGAAATGGCATTTTGTCAGTTGTTTCATGATTGGTTTTTTTTTTTTTAATTTGACACATTCAGCCTATTTACCTTGTATGTGTCACAACAATTTGTCTAAATAATGTTCTGTACTGTAGTAAAGGTTTTTAATGGGCAAAAAAAGTCTTGTGCATGTGTAAATGCTGTGGTGCTTTAGAGCAAATAAGTGGAAATGCCCATCAAAAGCATTTAACAGTCTGCCTGTGATAAATGTTAGAGCAACAGGTTAGTTCAAGTAAGACTAGACACAACAGGAAGGCACAAAAAGTCAGACAGATTGTTGAGTTATGTAAATTACAGCATGATTCAAGTGAACTAAACTCCTTAATTCAATAAAATCCTGAAGTTTTTCAATGCAAGGAAGAACGTAAGTTTCAAAACCAACATTCTTTGATGAGAAACAGAGCTTACTGTGATACAATTATGACTGTAACTAATATCATCTTCTATTTTCAATCAAAATGTATGCTTTCATGACAATATTATATATAAAGGTAGTGAGAAATACCCATGATTTAAGCTGGTGATTTAAGTCTCTCTTCTATTCATATTCTGTCTTTCTGATATTTTCTGCCTCAGTTTACATTGTGACTGTATTTTTATATTTCTAATCATAATAAAAGCATACAGCATTTGACAGGAAGAACAGCTGTTACATTCTCTTTCTGTTGCATTCAATATCTCTCAAGCTTCCTTGCCTCAAAAAAAAAAAAAAACCCACACCACTTTAGTCTTTTAGCCAATCTTTTCTTCCACTTGCTCTGATCCTTCTCTAAGAAAATATTTTATAGTCACTGGGGAAAAAAAAAATGTAAAAAGAGATGGTTCCATTTTTCAGTATGAATTAAAACAACCTAGCTACAGTTTTGTTATTCCACTAAGAATTCTAATACCTCTAGGTCAAATATGCCTTCAGTTTACCTGCAAGCCAAAACTGAAGCTTTTATGCTACCCTTACCTAAATGCTGACAATGTTATTTTAATGATTCAAATATCTGTCTGAATTTTACTTCACTGTGAACTTTTTGAAAACTCTCTTGCAGCATCTGCTGTCATTTTTCCATGTTAAATAAATTTTTATAATAGATAAGAATTTTCACTCTGCATATGGCTATCAGAACAATGAAAATAGAAAAATGCAGGGAATAAAGGAGATCCATACACCTTGTTCAGTAAATTTATCACAGAAAGCACTTCAACAGTTCTGTGTAGACCCAGCTCCTTCATGCAGAAAAGGCAGTAGACTAGCAATCAAACTGAAATCCAAGTACAGAGTCTTCACTTCAGAAGATATCCAAGTAGACAGGTAAGACAAACTCCTGCATGGCACTTCTCATTATGGTCTCTTGAGAACCTTTCAATGCATCTAACTATTTAAGTCAATTATTTGGAATCTCGGGTTTTTTACTCCGCATAACCCACTAAAACTAATCAGTTTAACCTAAAAAATAATAAAACCACATCTCAAGAGTTTTTCCTTTCAAAATATTCCACAACAAGAGTGAAGACAAGATCTGTGGTGGCCACTGGCTATTATTGACATCAAGTGACCTCTAGCATCAAGTACAATGAATGAATAGGTCTATCGATGAAACTTGAGAGTTCCTGGTTTAATCTTAAAGGATAAACTCCTAGGTTCACATACAAAAGGAATATTTGAAAAGTAGAAATTCATTTTTAGAACAATTCCAAGCATTATCACACTACTTAAATATAAGCAGCCTGAAGCAAAGAACAACTATTACATAAACTGAACCTCTTACAGTAAATTTTTTTTTCAGTCTTCCCAATCCAAAACAAGATTTACCTTTTTCCAGGCCTCTCCAATAGCTTCATGCAAGCCATAAGGAATTAGCACCTGCAGGCCTTCACAAGTTCTGTACATCTGACGACATACAAAAATGAAAGCTCCTGTAACAACTGGCAAAAGCTCAGATCCAGATAAAAGAGAAATGTCGCCATGAAGAAGTTTCTTTGTAAACTGAACAATTACATGAGCAGCTGTAGGACTAGAAATAAAATAACACTTTTAAAACCTTGGTTTGTAGTCATCAATAAGCCTCAAAACAAATCCTCTCACTAAACTTATTTCACTTTTTCTAGGGGAAAAGAATCTGCGGAAAGAAACTATGACCCACTATGGAGAGGCCAACTTGTAACACCAGGCAGAAGAAATGTACAAGTGATTTCACTTTGGCTACAGGTCTGCATAAAGCAAAAACACATCCATTGTCTTCCATCCAGCCCACACGGCCACAAACTACACAGACTGTTTTATAAAAATCCAGTTGGGAATATTAGGCAGACAATACTTTATCTTCTGCTTAATCAGCGTTAAGGATATCACTACAAGGCAAAATTTGTCATCGTTCTTTCTTCTTCCAGAGATCTCCTTCTGAGGTATTTAGGTTTGCAATGCAAAGGACAACTCATGCAAAATGCTATCCTTTACTTCCAACACCCTTAAAAACATATGCAACTTCTAAGACTTCTCCACATAGAAGACATATATTCCACACGTTTTCATGACCTGCAGCTTAGATATTTTTAAAGGCTACTTTCAGTTTTACTGCCCTGTTTCAAGTCTCAGCATCAGCATAGGTACAGCGTTACAAATGTCAGCTGTCTCTACTAGATGTACTGAAAAATGAATGCTACATTAAATCTATTCTTTCAATAAATTTGGTTGATTTGTATTATTTATTTTAAAAACAAACATAAAACAGAGAAGAGATGCCTTTAACCTGAACAGTAGCACTATTAATATAACAGACTACATTCAAAGAAAGGAAACTTCCCACACGAATAAGAAAAACAAATAAGCCATGGAAATCAACCCTTAGTAAAAGTATTTATTTAAATTGTCATTTCATCTGGTTATACACATAAATTTCTCCCTAATACATTCTCTAAAACACTTATTGCTTTACTTGATAATTAGATGTTTTCCACCAAAGCCAAACAAAGCATATCACATTATAGATAAATGAAAAAAGAGAAAATGGGACCCGTAAGGCTAATTTAATTCATTAAAGTACTCACTAATGCCATTCACGAATACACTCTTACCTATCTTTTTCGGCAGTTTTTTCATTTTCTCCATAAAGAAGAAGTGAAAGACCATCTTCTACAGCAGCAATCCTGGCCAAAATATCAGCTACGTCAATTAAAGCAGTTTCAAGACAATTTATATACAGCTATTTGAAAGAAAAAAGAAAAAAAATGTTTTAAATTCAATGCTTTTCTCAAAGCTGTTTATTCAAGCCTGGCTTATGTATTCAGAACCTGAAGGTCACCTTTCCAACTGCGTAATGGCTTAAACAAAATAAGTAAACAGCCTATGTTCAAACACTATCTCATAGAAATCTCCATCACAGATAGCAGTAATTGTCACTTCTAATGATTATGGCAGAAGTCCAACGACTGCACAGACACAGAATTCTGACATTTCTAAACTCCTTTTTCTCTTTTCCCACCATGAATGTGGAAATGCCATCTAGGGGTATAACACCAGAATCAAGGCGAGAAACATGCCACTTCCCTCATTGATGCATATGCATTGGCAATTCTTTGGCTAGAAATGGAACTGCAGTTCCCAAGAATATCATCTGCATCCACCTTACTTCTAGGTTGCACTAGGTCCAAAGAGCCATTTGCTTTGGAATCATGAGGAAAGTCTTCCCCACTGGAGCAAATCAAAAGTTCTCTACCAATTTCTTATTCAATTCAGAGCCCTGTATAGGTACAATTAGGCTATAATCAAGCAGTCTTGAACATTTAACACTGGGATTCAGACTGTTGAGTATGGTACCCTGACTATTGAATGTACTATCAGAATTAATGTTAAATTGGCCATTGCTTATTAATAAGTGAAGTCAATATTCCAATGGCAGACAAGCATAACATGGGTGCTCTATGAAGAACCTGTCAGGGTGCAGCAAGGACAGGATGCCCTGTAAGGGACAAGAAGCTGGGAACTGAGCATGGTAACAAGGCAGACAGGGGCAATGGCTTGCCATTAGATGGGCGGGCCCTCCCCATACACACACGCAAGGTGAAGAGAAGAGACCCAGTGACAGTAACCAGGTTCACCCAACAGTCCAGATCCCCTCCACAATGATGAGGGAGGTCCAAGGTTAAGCCAGAATGCCAAGTCAGTGAGTCAGGGTCAGCTCCAGACACAGTAACCAGGGTCAAACACAGCTCAGTGATCACCTTGCAACTGGATTTATAGTGACAAGGCAGGTCTGAGGTGAAGCAAGCCAAGACATTGTGGGTCAAGGTTCAGATCAACGGACACTAGGTTTCAGTGCTGCTACAACATAGCACAGGCAGGGAATGAGGACAAGAACCTCATCTTAAAAAACACTCCTGAGTGGGAGCTGCAGTGAGTCCACACTGAGGCTTTATTAGCAGTCATCGCTGGAGCGATCTCTGCTGAGGCTTCCTAGAGGGGCTTTCTCAAACAGCTCTCTTCAGGGACAGACACCCACACCATCACCTATGTTGCCCTGACTGCAGGCTGCCAAGACCAAGAGAAGGGAAGTAGTGGAGAGATGTGCCAAGGGCTTGACAGTAGACAGTAACTGTATTTCTGCAGGACTTATGCTGTGTCCTAAAGGTGCTCACAAAACCTCTGTTCCTGCCCATATGCCTCAATAACATGGCCATGAGGCAGCCAGAGCATACCTTCTCACAAAGGGCTGAGAAGCACTCCAAATTCCTAGCATTTATTCATAAATGTACTTAGAAGGAAGGAAGACAGTTTTCAAAGTGAAAAGTCCCCTTTGGTAGCTTCCCCCTATCCACACCTGGGACAACAGAGTGGAGTCGACAGATGAATTTTAGGCAGGGATGAGCTAGGGAGGATTACTGTTCCCACTAACATTTGTTAAATATCCAGTATGTCAGAATGGGGAATAAAGCACCACTCTCTCATGAAGTTGAAGTCCACTGCTTAAATCTTTTCCACTCCTCTGTTATTCATCAAGGACAACCAGACTCACAGGATAAGTGATTTTAAAAATGCTATGCAATCCACCTCCTGCTTCTTTCTCTCTGCTTCTTTCTCTTACAAGTAGCTCTAGATGCAGTGGACAGATGAAAAATAGTCTTCCTGTTTTAAAATGTAAGGAATTTACCATTAATGCCGGTGGTCAGAGTTACTCAAGAGTAACATATGATTTTGACTTTGACTTTTTAGTTAAAATATTCAATGATACAGAGGTTTAAAAATCTCCCTAACCTTTTATTCTTACTTTACTGAGTATCATTGTCCACGATTCTGAGAAAGGAAAATACTGTGCTATCACTGTTTCTTCAAAAGAGTGTTCTTATTTTGCTTTCCCTGTGCAAAACAAAACAAGACAAACAAAAACATCAAAAAACCCAAACACCAACAACCAACCATGGTACTTTGTTTAAAATGTGAATGCAATGATCTGCACAAGCTATGCTTCAGCAGCAACTCAGAGGCTACAGCGCCCAAACGGTCTATACTGTTAACCACAAACCAATCCTTCTGCCAGCTCCTGCTCATAGCCACCAAGTTTCTCCTCCCCTCCCTACTACAGATACACAATACTACTCTGCTTTAAAGGCAAGTAAGGCCTGTGCTTATCTGAGTAAATTCAGAGCTCAGATGTAAAATAACAGCATTCTGTTTGTTCATTAGGCCCACCATACAATCCAGGAGGCACACATGCTCCTCCAATGCTAACCAGTCCCAAATCCAGCTGAAGAAAGGTATGTGGCCATTGCCTTCCTTCTAAGGCAGGCACTGTCCAGCATTAGCATCCAGCATGAGCATTCTCACATGTCTAGGAAGAGCCAATGATTTAGTTGGGAAGAAAAAACAGTCGGAAGTCTTGTAAAAAGAAGAGGGTCACCCTGACTTTTCAAGCTACTGGTTTGCCATTTGCAATAGAAAACAATTTGCACTTTCGTTAAAACAAATATGGCATATTCCGGATTCACAACATAAGCAGTTTACTACAGCTACTGTGTGTTAAATATTTCTGAACATGACCTGTTTCTTTTTTTAAACGTACCAGTTACTAGGTCACAGGAGGGCTTAAAATTTGTTACGAGTTCAGCTACCTATGAGAGACAGCAGGGCATGGCAGAAACAAAAGGAATAAAAAAAAGGAAGGGGGAAAGAACTGTTAAACATTGTGATAATTTCTTTTTTAACTACTAATGCATAATAAGAAAGAGAGGCAGTTGGATACACTTTAGAATACCATGAGACCATAGAGGTTGCCTGGGGGATTACACAAGCCTCCATTACAGCAAATCAATGCAGTATTGCCTTAGTACTGTTTTTAAATTTGACTATCAGTGTTCAAAGCAAATGCAGGCTCAGTCACTCTTTGTCCTTGAAAAAATGGGCACTAAATATTTGCGGTGTACAGTAAATACAAGACAACTTAAAGCGTTAATCTTGCAACAGTGTCCATAGATAGCCTTACAATAAAATACATAAGTAATCCTTCTGTGCTCTGTGCAGATGCCCACAGAAGAGCTAAATTATTGACATGATCAAATTTTTGCAGGACTATGGTTTCAGTTTTACAGAAATACATACTTTAAAATATTTACTTGGAAACTGATTCTTTATGCTTTAGAAAAAAAACACTGGAATATTTTTGTATAAGTAAAACTTTCAGGAATTAATATAGACTTTTCTGAAAAATAAACACTAAAAAAATGATGAAAAAAGGAACTGAAAAGATAATCAGAAGGATACTGACAAAATTCAACTTTAAGAACCTAGATGAGGTATTTAAATTAGGAACACAGACTGTCCTTGCAAGCATGAGTCTCAGAAAGAAAATTCAAAACTTCTCAGCTATTAATTTCTCTCAGTCTCTTTATGTAAGACTGCTCAGGCTCCTCCCCAGGCATTTTACATCCTCAGCCTCTCAGAGTCCCTTAGATCAGTTAAATCATCTCAGTCAAAACAAAATCAACAGGGAAAGCTGAAACTATAAATAGACTTTCCAGTACCTAGAAGCAGATAATGTTTCCCAATATTTTTAAAATTCTCATAAACTGTTAAAAAAAAAAAATCTTCCTTTTGCCCATTCAGAAAACAATAATTTTCCATGAAGAATTACATATTTTACCTATACTAAATTTGAGAACGCTTAAATTCAAATTGCCAACTGAATTTAAAAAGGAATAAAAATAGGTTGCCTTTTAAGAGCAGATAGAATAAATATGCATCCAAGAAATATCCAAAAGACATACAAAAACATGGGAGGAAGGAAAAAAAAAAAGATATAATTTTTCCAAGGGAACGTTCTCACTACAGCACAATTTTTGCTACTATTCACAAGATTTCAAGAAAACCAAGTTTGTCAGACCAATCATAATGACAGCCTATACTATTTAAGGCATACTATACTAGCTAATGTAGAAAATACTACAGAAGTTACTACTTGACTAAACAAATCTTCGAAGTAGAGAATACAGAAAAAGCATAATACTCTGTAAATTTAAACATTATTTGGAAGGTTACTACAAACCTCTGTGCCACTCAGTAAGCTTTGAACAGGATGAAGTAGGGCATCTGTCACTGCATCCGTATATAAACATTCAGCAGCGCATCCTGTTTGATCACAAAAAACTTGCAGAATCTCCATAACAAGACTTGCTGGAGAATAATTGTCTGGTGAACACAAAAACTATTTATTTATATTTTAACTTACACAAAGATATCTACAAGACTTATGTAGATGTTTCTGAATTTCAATTTTGTTAAGTACTAATTTAACACAGGGGAAAGGTTCAGAAAATTGCACAAACAACAGACCCACATTAAAAATTGCAAAAGAAGTTACACATACCTCATTTTAACTATATATATTAGCATGTGTTAAAACCAAACATTTACCTGTATGCACTGCCAGAGCGGTCTTTGGGTAACTTGGAGAGTAATAAATAAGCTGAGTAAATAGTACCAACAGATCGGTTACAGATACACTATCTATTAAAAAAAAAAAAAAAAGGCAAGTAGTCTGCAAATTAAAGTGAAACTTTAATTTTACAAATAAAATTGGTTTTGTTTGCTTTGTTTTATTGAGGAAATCAACATACATACAACTGGTAAAGCAAAGGACGAGCATGTCCCTGGGACTCTATCCAGGTATTTCACAATCAACCTAGAAGCCTTGATCTGGCTCCCAATTTATCCAATTATTACTTTACCATATCTTCCATTACAATCATGGAATCACTTAAGGTTGGAAAAGACCTTTAAGATCATGGAGTCCAACTGTAACCCTAACACTGCCAAGTCCCACTAGACCAAGTCCCTAAGTGCCACATGTACACCTCTAATAAATACCTTCAGGGATGGTGACTTAACCAATTCCCTGGGCAGCATGTTCCAATGCCTGACAGCCCTTTTGGTGAAGAAATTGGAACAGATGGCAGCCAAAGTTTGAGAATGCTGAATGTACTGGGCTGTAGCAAAAAGTATTACCTTGTTATTAGATTAAGCGAAAGAACTGGAGAAGGGACAAGCTGTCAGACAACTCTTCCTCAGGTCTGAGACAAAGACAACAAACATAGCTAAATGCAGGTTGGGAACTACTGGTCCAAGTTCAGTGTAATTATGTTAATAAATCAGACAATTTGAGAAGAAAGCATTGCTATCTATGAAGCTGCAAAGGACACTACTAAGACGATAGATAGTGAGATTGTTACTTTTGTAGGGGAGAGAAAAAAGTAAGCATCACCAATGGCTCACTGCTTGAATGGTGTTATACAAATAACCGATAAATGACAAAAGCACTCGCTTAGTAGATATTTCTTTGTCACAGCTATTCTACATTGATGTATTAAGTCCTGATCCTCAAACCAGAGGGACAAAATAGCCGCAAAAGCCAAATCTCAGAATTAGTATCCAGTAATGGTTTGAATTCTATCCTGAATTTAAAAATATATTAATGTAATGCAACGTAACACTACAGTTTTTCTCACACACTTGCATTTGCCAACCCTGCAGAATGTATCACCATATGCAGATTTCTCTGGATGTCCAAGGGCTTTTCCATCTCCTACCTTCTGTCCTTATTAACACTGCTGTTCCACAGGTACTGATCTTTTCCTCTACCATTGTTTTACCTTAATTATATTAATAGGCTAAACTCAGAGCAATTGTCTTCCATTTGCATTTAGCTTAAAATACTGATATTTGTTTCAGACCTGGAAAATAGGTTTGGTCCCTGGGCATGTCTCTTTTCCAACCAATTATATCAATGGTTTTGACAAGAGATATTACTCATACCTAGAAATACTGGATTACTTACACATTCATCCAACTCTCCCTCAGCAAGAAATTAAACCTAAGGACAGAAGTGATCTACTCAGCTACATCCATTAAAGATTAAAAAACTGTGTTGATGCTCAAAATTACCTACACCATCATTTAAGAAAGGCTTCCAGGCACAGAATTGCTGAACTGAACACTGTCCTGTAACATCCACAATATTTCAGTGAAAATGTATATCAAATACAGACAAAGTGTTGCTCAACAGGTTCCATTTTCCTCATCCCCCCTCTTACCTTTTTTATTTTTCAGCTGTACTGGAAAGAGATTTTGGCCTTGCTTATAGACAAACAATCTTCCTAAAAGGCACAGTGAATGAACAAAACAGACGTACTGCAATTCTGGTCCAGTGTAAGAAAAGTTCTGCTTATCACCTTTAACAATAAAAACAAAGAATTAGAACTTGACTCTATTACTTTACTTTACAGTACCAAGCTACTGCCTGCAGTCTCTGTGAATCTTTTTGCACATAAAGACAGATAGTGTACGTAACTAACCACTGCTATCAGTGGTTACATAATAGATACACAGTATTTTGGGAAGTAAAAGAACAGATAGGATGTCTTCCTCTTGAGGCAGGATGTTCAAAGGGAATGTGGAGGTACGTGCATATAATGCAAGACATGCAAAGATACTCACTACAATGCTGCTGGGAGAGGTCATTGACTCTGGAATTTTTTTTAACTGCTGCCTTGCAAAATTCAAAATAATCAAGACATTGCTGGACAGCTGCATTAATCTATGGAAAAAAAGCACAAAACAATAAAATAGCTGGTATTTTACAATAAAGTAATTCCCTTTTGTATACAATACTTACTGTCCTTTAGCAAAACAACCTAAACATTCACTTCACTGCAAATACCTCATGTTTCAGTGTTGTGGATGGCGTAACCAACAGAAAGCAAAATTTTATAGGGCTATTAAAACACATTACCATATTATGACATTACCATTATTATTATTATCACTACATTATCATACTACCAATATTATTACTGTTCTTTGCAGAAGCGCTGTATCATTATCATCTAATCTATGTATATAGAAGTTTACAATTTATCAGCATGTATTTAGAAATGAATCACAAAAGTAGCACATGAATAAAGAAGTAAGTTTAGAAGTATTACAGTTTGCAGCTGCTAACATTTATTCACAAGTGTAAGTAAGATGTACAGACATGCATAATAAAAAAATACTTAATCTGAGCTTTACTCTATGCTTATAAATTATATTAGACTACCCTACTCATGGAATTCCTACTATAAATATTTTGTTGCATGGAACATGCTTTATTCCATGCTCTGTTCTTTATGCATAAACAAGGCAAATGTCTCAGTTCTCTGTTTCAGTGTCTCACATCTTTAAGGTTCAATCAGTCACATATATTTTACATTATATTTCATTTGTATTACAAGTTTTTACAAAACATAGCCAAAGTTCTGTCTATATGAATGAATCTCACATCTACATCAATTTACTAAAACCACTGAAACTTCCATCCCAGTGGAGAGACCTGCCCATACAGAGTATATGATAGGATTAACACCTACACTACTAAAAATGCTTTCCCAGGTTGACATATTTTGCTGACACTTTGAATCCCAATGCTTCATGTAACAACTTAAAAGACGACAGTGATGGTTTCTTAATCTCTTTCTATAAAAAAATCCAAATTCAGCATAGAGTTTTTATGGTATTTTTTCATGCATCATTTTCTATTTTTAGATATTGTCAGAAATAATTCTAAATATGAATGCAACATATGGAATGAATAAATAATAAGCCTAATTAAACAACTGATATAATACATCCACATTTCCCCTTACTCAGAGCTGGTAACATGGAACAGCGCTGGCAAAAGGGTAAAAAGAAAAACAAAAATGTTCAAACCACAATGTGCAAAGCAAGAACAAGTTCCAAATAAATTTCCATTGGGAAATACTTACCAAAGATTTGTATTTCTTTTCCAAAAGCCTAAATATCACTGTTCTGCTGTAAAGCGCATGCTAAAATGACAAAGAAGGCCTAATGTCAATTTCAAACAGAAGGTGGGGTTTTTTTAACTAAAAAGTAGAAATTGCTTCCAATTCTGTTCTATTAAGGGATCCTGTGCGCAACACATATTCAACGTATTAAACTCCAGCTTGTGTAAACCAGTATTATACTCAAGTGGGCCTTCTGTCTGCAGTATATATGAGATGACAAAAGGATTATGTCATTAGAAAAATGCATAGTAGAACATGGAGTAAAACAAAAAATCAGTAACTATGCTGAAACGTTACATTGCCACGTAAATCCTAAATCATGAATTGATGCATAGCAGGCTGCAAAAGGCTCTCCTGTCTACTGGAGGTTAGGAAGTTGCATGCAGCATATTATAACTATACTTTCATGCTCACCACTTCTTTCAGAAAAATATTTGCATCTTTTTGATGGCTGTCAGTCTATTACGACAAAGGGACTGAAGACCAAAAGTGCACTCAGTTCTCAGAAATTATATTTCTGAGGGTAGTGTTAAAGGGCAAAGGACATAAATGCCTAAAAAAACCCCAGACTTCCTTAATTACAGTGCTCGTTATAGGTTGTTACCAGGTCACAGTAGGTCTGTGATAAGAACAGTCATAATTCAAACATTTCAAAATACATGTCATACAGAAGTTACGAGTTCTTGGGTTGTTTGGCTGGGGTTTTTTTGCTTACCGTCCATTTTTTAAACCATACTGCTTTGATATCTAGCAAAGCCAAGAAGTAGACTGGACTCAAAAAATCTGGAGAGGTAGGATGATTAGGCTCGTGTTTTACTGACAAAAGTGACAAGGTACTCTCCATTACTTCTTCCATGTACCTTATGACACAAATAGGAAAAAAATTAACAGAAAACAGAAATCATGTAAATCTTCCCCACTAGCAATATTCAGGAACAAATTTCTTGCAAAACCTCATTGTTCAGATAAATCATAAGTATAAACAACATCATCTGTAACTTGATCTTGTAATGATATTAATTCTTTGTATTACCATGAATCAAACTAATACTAACATATACATGAATCCTCCTAAATGATTACATATTTTAAGTGCTAAATATCACACTTGTTACTTTGTAAAACATCCTAGTTATTTTTCTTAAAAAGCAGCTTAATATGACCCATGACTACTGCCATGCACTTTCCCTATTCCACTTCTCCCTTCTTCTGTTTTCCCCCTTATCACTGACCAGTCCTCTGTGCATCTTGTAATCAATCTTTTGCTAAAATTATATGCATCTAATTATATGTTGAAAATAATTAAAATACAAAACATTGAGAGGTTTCTGAAGGTGACATACTTCTCTGGGTATCGAATCCAGGAAGAGGGAGCTTCCTTTTGGTACTCATTTAAAAGACGGACCTGAAAACATAATAATTAAAATTAAAAAATTATGCATGGTTTCAGTAATGACAAAAAAGGTATGGAAAATTAATTTATACCTTTTTAAGTAAATGGTTTATGTCTGTGTTAGACACATCCAGACCAGCTGAAATACGAAGAGAATATCCTCCAGAAAGAAAGTACAGCTCCAAGTGTCTGGCTAAAAGAGAAGAAAAAAAAAAAAAAAAAGGAAAAAAACCACCAAACTCACCTCCACGACAACAGTGGAAGAACAGACTGTATTATACAGCTTCATTATAAAAGTAACCGATTTTCAGGAATTACATGACTCATGATGTCTCAAACTTAATTAAATGCACATACCTAAACTTGTATAGACTTCTCTTGTCATATTAAATGGAGAAGAAGTAAAGGTTTTTGCATAGAATCTAAGAATTTTCTCCTAAGGGAGAAAAAACAAGCAATGTATTAGTCATGTAACTGTGTATTATTATTGCACAATAACCAATATGCAGTGGCATTATTCTTCGTATTACATATTGCTCAGATGTCTCTAGAGATGTGAAGAATATTTTATAAAAACACACATTATTGGGATCACAGTAACCTACGGTCTGGAGGAAATCTTACTTGAATACTTGTAACTGACAGCACCAATGCAAAGCCTCACTGAGACACAAAGCAGCAGATCAGGGAATACTACTGTACTTTTCCATTAGCATTACTCTTTTTATGCTATTAAATGTACCAGTGACTTGCAACTAACATTGTTTCAAATGAAACTGTAGACCTAAGCTGAAAGGGAAATACATGACAGCAGCTGGGGCAACTTTCATATTTATTTCATAATCACTTCAAAATTCAGAGAATAAGAACAAAAGGCTTAATTGACATAATAAATTATCTAAAAGCATTTTAAACAGCTGCCATTTTTTTTCCTCATCAGTGCCTATATAGTATCTCATCATCATGGAGTATATACCTGACTTAAATAGGAAATACTAATGTGACATGTTTTACAGAAGAGTTTTGTCAACTTTTTTAACATGCTTGGTAAAAGACATTCAAACCTCTTCATTCTTATTAAATGATATGTAAATGAGTACTCCAGTCTCTAAAAATCCTATCAAAATCCTGTTGTGATCCTTTAAATAAAGGCCTACTGTAATCATATAGTTCTTTTACTTCAAAAAGAGTTTATCTGATACATAAACAAATAATAAAATGCCTTGGGACCCTGCTGGACTACTCGTAATACCTATGTAACTTCTTACTCCTCTTCAGCACTCTCTACTAAGGCTACACATTTGATAACTAAATCAAGAACCTTTGCTTACACCGAATGTTGCATCAGGATCTGACAGAGACACCGTTAGATGTTTACGCAGATCTGGCCAACTCTCTGAGTTCAGTATATCAGAGGGAGGGGCAAAACACAGTGTCTGCAACGCTTCTTGGCGAACCTGAAGTGGTCAAAGAGATAAACAACAGAAATCCATTCACAGCAACCTCTCAAATACATAATTTACGATATAATTTGGAGGAAGACAGGAACAGGACCTAGCTGTCAAACAAATAAGGAATTACAGAATACTAATATTCTGTTATATTTTTATGGTGAATTAGACAAAACACTATGTCACTGAGAAAAAAAAAATAAAACCAAACATATTTGAAGAAGCAACAAAACCATTTTATAGAGGTTTCCAATACTGGATGCAAGGATTATGCTCTACTTTCTGCTTGTAATCAAGTATTTTTTTTTAATCAGGTAATATAGGAAAGTATTACCAAATACTACATATGTGGCTAGCAGGTCTCTAAAGGAAACAGAGGTACTAAACCCTATGTTTTACTGCTGAATTTTCATCAGCATTATAATCTAAATAATCCCAAATTACTCTTCTTTTGTTCTATTTGTAGACAACTATAATCGCTAGTAATTTATTTCATATAACTGAAACTGTATGAAATTGTAACAATATTTAATCGCATCCAAATTTTAGGTGTTTTTCTAAGAAAACTCGATCACAATGCTTATGCCAATTCCCATCTACCATGCCTTTTTCAATTGCCAGACAATCCTAAACAAATCTTACTGAGACAGCACTCTCAAAATGATGTTTCCCCAAGCTTCAAAAATATTAGCTGCTGGTGGTGATTGGTGGTTAGACACCCAAATTGGTACTGCTACTGACAGGAACACAACTAATTTGGACTTTATATATTCCATCTGGCAGCAGCTTGTTGGAAAATCAGCAGGCACCGCCCTATGGCAACATGGAAGTTACCACGAAGGGCAAGGGATACATATACAGGAAAAGAAGTTTCAGTAACTTTATTTCACACAGGACAACTTTTTCCAAACTAAAGATGCCCATCTGTAGCACACAAACTCCTAATAAAAAAAAAAAAAAGATAGTTACTGCAACACCAGCTTTTGAACCAGATGGTTACGAACAATGAAACACCGCACTGCAAAGCACTTGCTGCACTGAAGCCAAGAGAGATGAACCAACATCTACCAAAAGACAAGATTTCACTTAGGTACATATGAACTCTTAGGTTCATACAGTCTGTTTTCCAATATGCCATAAACATTAATTTGCATTAACATTTTATTTCTTCTTTTAAACTTACTTCCTTAGGCTGAATAGGGTCAAGCCTTTCTACAAGCAGGTGCAATTGTTCTTGACTCATGAATGTGTAACTCTGTAATACACAGTACAAAATGATCATTAGAATATTTTATTAAACTGAATAACAGAAGATTAAAATCATCAGTCTTTATGATATGTAATTTACTTTTAATAATTATGGTTTCAACATTTATACTAATTTAACATTAAAGTCAACATTCTAAATGTTTTCTGCCATTTGTCAAAAGTTAATTTTACAGCAACAAAATTCTCATTACATATTTTGCTTTGCTGTATTTAAAAGTTTCCTTATCTTCACAAAATCCCTTATAATAATTTATTCAGTAAGTAATACAGTAGAGTGCAATAGTCTGGAAATGAACTGCAAATACTTGGCTCCTAAAGTAAAATCACAAAGTTAGATATGTATTGCTTTTATCATCGTTTTATCTTTTTCTATGCAGTTCTTGCACAGATACTGCAGAGCATGTGGCCATCATATTCATCTCCTCTGGCGTATGCTGTCTAAGGGTTAGAGAGCTAGTATAAGCTTACTACTTCAGAGTGAAAGAAAGGCAATTAATTTGTTGTAGCATGTATCAGAGACAGAAAGAATTAATCTTTTTCTAGGGCTGCTTCTCAACCTCCACCGACAGAAACTTCACAATTTTGCAGTACCGTGCTTATTTCAAAACATACAAAGAAAACAAAATGTACTTGGTTGAACGAGGAGTCACTGTCAGAACAGTTGTCTGTAAAACAGCCACTCTGGCTTTCGTTCTTTGTTTTACTATCCAGCTCCTTATGACGCATCCGGTCTTCTTCAAACTTGTTAATCAAAGACTCTACCACAACCATCATGACATTCTTCAAGGCATGCATCATTTCTCTGTATCTTCAAAGTAAAGATGATTTTAGTATTAAAGAGCATAAAAAGTATTAATTAAAAAAAAAA